CATAAGCCTGCGATAGATTAGATATAAGGAATATTTTTGAAAGTTAGCAGGCACTTCTTTTGACTAGAATTTTTGATTGGTCTATTGCTAACTCATTAACTGTATTTTGTAAAACAAGCCATCTTTTGATTATAATATAAATTTGGCAGTTCTTTAAACTCTTTATATTACTAAGTCAATTTTCATGATTTGTTTTGATTTTATGGGGATATGTTTAGGTATAAACTTTTAAATCCACAGATGATTCAAAAATAATAATTTAAATAAAATAAAGAGATAAGAGAAAAAGATAAATAATAAATATTATATTAATTACATTAAATGGGAGGAGAACGTCACAGAAGGCCACATAGCAAGTGAAGCCAAAAGGAGTTAGCATTGCCATAGAACGATAGTTGGATGTCCTTTTTATTGGAAGTAGATGCTTATTAGGGAAGGCTGAATGTTTTTTAAGTAGCATATTAATTTTTTGAAATTGTTGAATGGTTAAGTAGCATAAATGAATTTTGCACAGATTACTGCATATTATTTGTTCCCAATGAATTTAATTTTGTGGTCACATTCCAATGGTCACAAGTCAATTGCCACAATTCATTTATATGTCACAGATCAAATTTCGCAGGTCACATTACACTATATGTACAGGTCACAATTCCATGCTCGTGAACGAGTTTCATTGTCCAGTGATATGTATATTTATTGTGTGCACAAAGCCAATTGATGTTGTTAACAGAAATGTGTTTTCAGGTCATAGATCACCTTTAACATATCAGTCTCACATAGAACTGAACAGGTCACAAGGGTTAAAAAGGCAGTTAACGTTGGTCACAAACCAGACTAGTTGGTTACATAGATTTGTACATGTCACAGACGAGTGTCATGATTCCATGTCCAGTTATATGTATAATAATCGTGTGCACAAAGACAGCTGCAGCTAGTCACAAATGTGTTTTACGGTCACAGATCACCTTCTACAGATGAAAACTCACATCTCGGTGAACAGGTCACAAGTGTAAAAGGCAGTTGGACACAAAATTGACTTATTGGTCTCATAGATTTGTACAGATGTGGTCATTTGATAGTGGTCACAAATTTGTTCAACGGTCACAGATCACCTTTTAA